GGATCTACAGCCAAAAATCTAATTATCTTATAATTGCAATTCCAGTCCCCTTAGTTCAGTTAGTCTTTTTCGATCATAAAATCAATTTCTTAATTAATTCTTGATCAATATTAATTACCTAATATGATTTTTCTTTTAATATATTATTCTTATAATATATTAATAAACCATAATATCCTCTCTCTCTCTCTCTCTCTCTCTCTATATATATATATATATATATATATATATATATATATATATATATATATATCATGTCAAGTTGCTTTATTGAAGGCAACCCAAAAGGACCATGCTAAACATGGTCAAATACATACCAAATATAGTTATGGACCTAGACACTAATCCAACACATATTACAAGTAAAGTCACAAACTTTACGTCCATGCATGGGTCTTCAAGCTCAAAAGACCCAAAAAAAAAATAAGGTCCACAAGGTGCATGGGACTCCCATGGCCATAAAGTTGGCACCTTTATGCCATGGGAATCCTCAATGGTTCCATATATGAAGTCGTGTCAGCTTAGAAACATAAAATCCCGAAAATGGCTATACTAAAGCTTAGAAATGGTAGAAACTTGCCTTAACTAGAGATCTAAGGATAAATGGTCAAGGTTGAAGCTTTTTACCTTAAACAAGTTGGAAATGTGCCAAAACTTCTAGATCTACTAGCCTTCTGTTGATCTCCTAAGCCTCCTCTTTCTTCTTCAGCTTCTAACACACAAAAAAGGGCACAAAGAGCTCAAAGTCACTCAAAATCGATTAGGGTTTTGTGAGGATGGTCTAAGGATGATGGAAGCTATAAAGGAAGCCAATTAAGGTATTTAAATAGAGTGAAAACCCTTAAAAGTAGGGTTTCATCCAAACATACCTACTCGTCGAGTTGCGGCATCCGACTCGGTGAGTAGGTCCTTCCACCCGCGTCCAAGTTTCACCTCGACTCTACGAGCTGGGGCCTCCAACTCGCCGAGTCCCTAAGTAAAAATGTAAAAATTCATATTTAAAGTACGTACCAGGAACCGGGCGCTACATAGTTAATTTTAATTTTAAGAAATATTAATTTATAAAAAAAATATTGTACATAATATGATCAAAAATATGATGATTTGAAATACACATGATTCAAAAAAACTTTTTACTCAACTTGTTTATAATCCTTAATTTGTTATGATATAAAACTATTTATACTTAAATATTTTATTATCCTTAATTATCTCTTTTATGATTCAAAGTTAAATGATTCAAATTATATTATGATCCATAATTTTTTTTTGAACAAAATCTATATTTAAATAAATATATTCTTGATCCAAACACTACAAGGAACGAGGGCTATACAGACGACTTTTACAGAACCTATGCCGACAACATGTCGTCAGTAAAACCTATACCGACCACTTGTCGACTGCATAAAGTCGTCGGTATAGCTTCGTCGGTAAAAGTCAAAAATGTAGTCGGTATAGATGCCGTCGGTACAGATCCACCTATGCAGACGACTTGTTGTCTATAAAGGATCGTCGGGAAAGATTTTCGAGGTAAGAAAAAAAGTTTTATTATAAATCTATACTGACGACATGTCGTCTGGATAGGGAGGGCTATACCAACGACATGTCTTCTGGAAAAGTTTCTAGCAGTTTTTACAACTAAGACCTATACCAACGATATGTCGTCGGTATTTTTTTTTTTTAATACTTTTCACAGATTTGTTATATTTACTAAACCTGTTTTTTCTAAAAAAAAAAAAAAAAAAAAAAAACAATACATATGCAGTGTATATGCAGAATAATATCAAACATTTTATAAGCATTACACTTGAAAATCTTCTACATAGAAAAATAACAAATAAAAAAAAACAAGTTTTCATGTTCAAAATAACAAAAAGATTAATCAAAATCTTCATTGTTCTCGTTTCCCCGGGCTCGTTGGTTGGTTCGGGATTATTTTGGGTAAATTGAGGCATTGGTTTTGGTTGAAAGCTATGGATTCATCCTCCCAAACAGAGACATCAAGACCATACGCTATAGGAAAGCACTCCCCTGAAGAACAAAAATATATATAATAGGTCATATGGACAAAAAGGGACACATATTCAATTTCTACTTAAATATCCAAATGTCCTAATTAAACTTATGTTGTAAGTTTGAAGCACATATCTTGTAAGTTGCAAGAATCATTGGCATATAGAAGCCACTGTTAATTTGGATGCAAGAAAACACATCCTGGTACATCTGGCCGTTTGCCTGTTCCAAGCAATAAATCTTTGTATGTCACATCAGCTATCAGGTCTCTAATCTGACTAATCTGAAAAAAAATAATAATAATAATAATAAAATCTTCTCATTCACTTCCTGAACAATTATAGGACTATTACATATATATACAAAGAATTATATTACACATCAAAACTTCTAACTAACTTGTAATAACTACAAAATAGAGAATGACCAAACTACCCTTGGTAGTTAGAAACGATTAACTGTCATATTAGCTAAGTTCTAATACTAGCTAACAAATCATGCAAAAAGTTTTACCAATTTATGAGACAAGTTAAATATTATTGCATTTCTTCTTTTTAGTTTGAGGAATAAAGAAAAGAATGTAGATTTGTACATCAGGAGTCCCTTTGACCAAGCAAACTCTTGTTATTTATGTTGGATGATCCAGTTAAGGAGATATGATTATCAACTAGCATCACTTTGCTATGCACATACACCTTAAGAATAATTCATTAATTAATAAGTTATAGTTCTAACAGTTGCTGCCCCACCATCTCTCATACGCCCCTGTTTGTTTATTCATTACTCTTTATTCCTAATCAAACAGATGTTGCAATTGATATATACAACTCTCATATACCCCATACCCCACTCTTTTTAGGTTTATAAACAACCTCAATGTCACTATTCCATGTTTTCCAATTCTCATCAAACTATAATACAAGAAATAGAAACCATCATTATTATTATTTTATTAATATGTAGAATGTAAAATGCATTGAGAGCATAGACAAGTCCTTAAACATACATTGTTACGAAACGGATGAAATATTCTTATGAATCAAAAAGGTTAAAAGAAAACACTATCATACCTTCTTTCAAGGTTACATTCAGTTCCCCATTTACAAGTATACCCCCAAAAACTGTATAAATCATTCCGGTTTCATCTAAACACGCATTCCGGTTTAACAATTAAAGACTTTATACATTACAGTGAGCATAAACATAATTCAATTATATAACATATCCCAAAAATTTCCCAAAACAGAAAAAAAAAATAGAAATCAGAACTTTACCTCAAAATCACCAATGACATGAGTTGTGGTAAAGGGCCGTGGAAGGAGATGTAGATGCCGATGGTGGTGAAGGATTGTGAAGGCCAACCAGAGAAAGAAAAACCCACCCAAAATCGTTGTAGATAACTTAAGCAATCAGTAACAAAGAAGAAAACAAGGATTAAGAAGCATACCAGCTCGTCGAGGTAAAGGAGAGTCGCCGGAGGGGTAATTCTTCGTTGAGAGATCGACAGAGAAACAAAACACAATTGTGCTACAAATGAAGTCGATTGACTGAGATCTATTAGGTTTAAACCCTATGCCGACGACATGTCGTCAGTATAGGGTTAGAAAAAGCTATGTCGTTTCTATTTTCCCGGTTTTGATTTTTCACGCGGATCGCCAATTCGTATTCCGACGACATGTCGTCTGGATAGATATCCACAAAAGGGCGTCGTTATTTTGTTTCACAACAAACGAAAATAAATAAATCGAAATTGTAAAATCTGTAACCTATACCGACAACTTATCGTCGGCATAAGTTTTCAGTAGACCGCCAAAAAGTTTTTCGTTCCCGCCTAATCTATAGCAACTATAAGTCGTCATTATAGAGTCCATGTCAAAGATAGTTGGTCAAAGTTTTCAGAACCCTATACCGACGATATGTCGTCTGATAGCTAACCTTTTAGCGACGATCTTTGTCGTCGATATAAATGTCGTCGGTAAAGGATGCTTTTCTTGTAGTGAAAATCATATGATTCAAAAATGATTTGATTTACAATATTATTATGCAAAATAATTTGATTCAAAATTTTATAATTCAAAAATATTATGATTTAAAAAAAGTATGAATAGAAAATAATATGATCCTTATTATTCTTTTTATTTAAAATTTGATAATTGTTAAACATAAAAAACTTAAACGGATGTTTAGTTCAAAAACTAAATAAAATAAAATAATAAAATAATAAAAAATAAAGGAAAACAATAGTTTCTTCAAGTATGTCGTAAATATATTTAAAAAAATAAGCAAAACAAAAAAGAACAAATTTATTTCAAAAAATAAAAAATAAAAAAATAAAAAACGAAAAAAAAACCTTTAAACTGAGCATATATATATTTAAAAAAAATTTGTTTTTTTAATGAAAAGTTAAAAATTAAAAAAGAAAAAAGAAAATAAATAAAAATAAATAAAACCACTTAAATGACGTTCAATGGACATTCGCTACAAATTATTAAATCCTCGAGTTCGTATTACTTATCACAGATGTAAGTCGAATTTGAACGCACCACATCAAATATTTGGGTTTTATGTTTATAAAACTTAAATATATGACAAAAGCTAAAAATAACTCAAAATACTTTTAATGGGTTGAGTTTTATTCAATAATTTCTGATGTGTTATATAGCTATAAATAATAAGGACAAGGAGAATGTGTATAATAACAAAAATAAAGCTATTTTAAAATTAAAAGAGAAAGACTGATAACATGACCTAAGAAATGTTAACTTATAAATTGTTATATACTATTTTTTGTGGTGATTGTTGTTTTGGGTTGATGACTTTTAACCTTTTATTCCCGTTTTTTGAAATTTTTTTTTTCTTTTATAAATATTCAGAACATGACGTTATTCATGTACTCTCGAACATGGGTATCTAGCTATAAATAATAGACCGTATGATCCAAGTTTTCATCACTCTTTCAGTCCTTCCCAAAGCTAGCAGTTATCATGGCTGACGAAGAAATTCCCAACTTGATCCATAATGATATTAAACGTACAGATTTTCCTGATAACTTCATGTTTGGAGTAGGAACATCTGCTTATCAGGTTTGTTTCAAAACACATATATAACTCATGTATCTTACTTTTTGTTTCATATAAAACTTATCCAACTTAAATAGGTAAATGTTTTATGAGGTTGAATAAACATGCATTAAGGTGTAAGTTTGCACTTCCAGATTGAAGGTAGTTGGAATGTAGATGGTAAAGGCTTAAGTAACTGGGATACTTTTACCCTAAGACACCCAGGTCTGCCTCTCTCATCTGTTCATACTTCTTCTAGTTTTATGGCATCGATCTTTAATCAAATGGATAACAATGGTCGATGATTGCAGACAAGATTCGTGGAGGTGGCAACGGATGTGTCGCTGTTGATAATTACAGAAGATGGAAGGTAATGTGTATATTCTGGTTTTCAAGATTCCGATAAATAAATTTTATGCTTATGTATTGATTACAATACAATGTCAAGTCATCGTATGTTACAATGACTAAGCTAATGTAACATTATACTAGAGCCTAGTTGTATCATGTGTTGGTGAAAGGTGGCCTCCAGCCATATATATGTGGGACGAAATGTGTAGCTTAGGAGTAGAATAAATTGTATTTCTATTTGTTGTTCTAAAAAAAGTCATGTCACTAACTGGATGTTAGCAACTATATACACCATCATATATATATATATATATATATATATATATATATATATATATATATATATATATATATATATATATATATATATACGTATACACATGGTGTCCATTTTGTTTGTTGTGAGTCCGTAAATATCCATCTTTTGATAAGAAGTTGAATTATCATATACTATCAAAATTGCATGACATATTTTTTAGATTTTTCTTTTTTATACTTTAAAACTGTGAGAATATTTGTATACGTTATAATATATATATGTTTTGATACACACATAGATTGTATTTGTCTGATTAATATATCTTGTCTCCTTTGTAAACAATTATTAGGAAGACGTTCAGCTGCTGAAGCAAATGGGTGTAAACTATTACAGGTTCTCAATTCCATGGTCCAGAATATTACCAGGTGAACAACAATTGTTTCAATATTAACCAAGTCAGATATCTTTTATAAGAAAAATAGTAATATATATGAGATAAATTTAAATTTGTACGCCTTAATTGTATCTGCTTTACAAAGAGTAGACGATACATATATTGTCGCTGCTTGTAGTTTTATTTTTAAAAGGAATAAAATACTTTTGGTTTCATTTTAATTTAAACAGGTGGGAAATTATGCATGGGCAAAAGCCTAGAAGGCATCAATCACTACAACAAGTTAATAGACGAGTTGATAGACAATGAGATTAAGCCATTTGTTACTCTTTTCCACTGGGATCTTCCAATTGCTTTGGAAGAAGAGTACATGGGTTTCTTAAGTTCAAAAGTTGTGTGAGTATTTTTCATTTATATTTAATTTTAAGGTAGATTAGAAGAATATATATATATATATATATATATATATATATATATATATATATATATATATATATATATATATATATTTTGGACAATTCAATGGTTTAACTATCTACATTTACAAATTCACAGGAAAAACATAGGGATAATGACTTAGGAGGGTAATAACGTTTTCTGTTTGTCCATTTTAAGTCCCCAACATATTTTTTGTGCGTATTACACCATTAAGGTTATTATAACCGTTTACAAATAGTCCTTTTAACAGGAAGAAGCCGGTAAAAGGATTATTTATAAACAGTTATAACAACCTTAATGGTGTAATATACACAAAAAATACGTTGGGGACCTAATATGGACAAACGGGAAACGTTATTACCCTCTTAAGTCATTATCCTATGAAACTATAAACCCCTATAATGAATTTTTACTTTTTAAATAAGAAACTTATAGGTCTTGGGGTTGGTAGTTTGGATGTTTTTAACATCGACCTTCTTTATAAATGAAAGTGGCGCTTTCTTAATGACAATGAAGCTCTTCGGGTTAAAATTATCAAATTTTGTCATGGGGAAGGTGGTGGTTTTTCGGAAGATACGAGAATAGGAATTGGAGGGGGTGTTTAGCAAAAGATTGTAGGATCCATTAATCACCTCTATGAGAATGGTTGTATTCCTTCTAATTACATGTATAGAGTGTGTGTGTGTGTGTGTGGGGGGGGGGGGGGTTGAGACTCAAACGAGGTTCTAGAAGGATGTTTGGTGCTTGGATATTCCTCTTAGGGAGCGGTTCGGGAGACTCTTTGCTTTAGCCTTTAATCAAGATGCTCGAGTAAGTGAATAATGGGATCCGGAGGGATGTAATTTTCATTGGCGTGGGGGATTAGAGGAGGGGCCAATGAAAATTACATCCCTCCGGATCCCATTATTCACTTATTTGAGCATCTTGATTAAAGGCTAAAGCAAAGAGCCTCCTGAACCGCTCCCTAAGAGGAATATTCAAGCACCAAACATCCTTCTACAAGATAATCAAATTGGGTCGATTCAATCCCTCCTCTAATCCCCCGACGCCAATGAAAATTACATCCCTCCGGATCCTATTATTCACTTACTCGAGCATCTTGATTAAAGGCTAAAGCAAAAAGCCTCCCGAATCGCTCCCTAAGAGGAAAATCCAAGCACCAAACATCCTTCTAGAACCTCGTTTGAGTCTCACCCCCACCACTCTATACATGTAATTAGAAAGAATACAACCATTCTCATGGATGTGATTAATGAATCCTACAATATTTTGACAAACATCCCCTCCAATTCCTATTCTCGTATCTTCTGAAAAACCACCACCTTCCCCATGACAAAATTTGACAATTTAAACCCGAAGAGCTTCATTGTCATTAAGAAACCGCCACTTCCATTTATAAAAAATACCGATGTTAAAAACATCCAAACTACCAACCCCAAGACCTATAAATTTTTTATTTAAAAAGTAAAAATTTATTATAGGGGTTTATAGTTTTATGGGATAATGACTTACGAGGGTAATAACGTTTCCCATTTGTCCATATTAGGTCCCTAACGTATTTTTTGTGTATTTTACACCATTAAGGTTGTTATAACCATTTATAAATAATCCTTTTACCGGCTTCTTCCTGTAAAATGACTATTTGTAAATGGTTATAATAACCTTAATGGTGTAATACGCACAAAAAATACGTTAGGGACCTAAAATGGACAAACATGAAACGTTATTACCCTCCTAAGTCATTATCCCAAAAACATATACATAAAATGTGACAAATTACCGGAGACACCAAGTACATGTGAAAATTGATTTGAAAAAGAAAAAATATAGTATCTTGGTTTGATGGCAAATTGATTAAACCGTAAAATAGCAAATAATTATTGATTCGTTTTACTAATTTCCTTTTTTTTATGCATTTCTTAAATAATTATTGGGCAATTCATTGCTAGCGATGATTTTGTCGATTTTGCTGATATTTGCTTCTGGGAATTTGGGGATCGAGTAAAAGATTGGGCTACACTAAACGAGCCATATAGATTCACTATCTGTGGATACGTCGAAGGTATCTACCCACCTGGTCGGGGTGGAAAGGGTGAAGAGGGTGACCCTGAAACAGAACCATATACTGTTGCATACAACCTACTTAATTGTCATGCAGCTGCTTATAGAAAATACGAAAAAGATTATAAGGTACTGGTTCACAAAACTTTTTTGACGAACACATAATAGAATTAATCGTGTGTGTATATATATATATATATATATATATATATATATATATATATATATATATATATATATATATATATATATATATATATATAGGAAAAGTGAATATACCCTTAAGGGTATATAAGGATAGGTACCCTAATCCACCACAATACATCGTTTTGTATCATATATAGACATTGTAATTGTCCAATGTTCTTATAATTCAACTTCTAACTTGAATTACTTCAAAGATTTTTATAAATTTCATATTTATCTTCCTCTTACATAATTATCATTTTCAACAATAATATCTATAGCCTAGTAAATGTTCGACAAAAAGATGCGATGTAAGAGGAAGATAATAGTGAAAATTTAAAAATATTGAATATAAATCAAGTTAAAGATTGAAGTTTAACAATATTATAATTAATATATCAAACAAAACGACATATTATTATGAGTTTGGATACCTAAGTTTATATATCGTTAAAGGTATATAAAAATTATATATATATATATATATATATATATATATATATATATATATATATATATATATATATATATATATTAGGGTTGTAAACGAACCAAACGAACACGAACAAGGTCTTGTTCATGTTCGTTCGTTTAAGTTAGCCGAACAACAAACGAACACTAACGGATAAACGAACGAGATTTTCTTGTTCATGTTCGTTTGTTTAACAAATTACTTTGTTCATGTTCGTTCATTTATGTTCATGAACATGCTAAACGAACATAACCGAACAAAGAAAAAAAACGCAATTAAACATATATGAACAGAAACGAACATATAATATAGCAATATAATAAAAAATAATTGAATATAGATGAATATAAATAAACTTAAACGAATGAACATAAACGAACGTAAATAAACATCATAAACGAACGTTCACGAACATAAATGAACGAACGAGACCATTGTTCATGTTCGTTTATTTAACTAAACGAACGATAATTTTTGTTCATATTCGTTCATTTATTAAATAAACGAACATAAACGAACTTCCCGCCGAACAGTTCACGAACAGTTCGCCGAACGTTCAGTTTGTTTACAGTCCGATATATATATATATATATATATATATATATATATATATATATATATATATATATATATATATATATATATATATATATATATATATATATATGAAAGTTTACTTTTCAACAACTAGGTCCCATCGTAAGTGTCATTATTGCAATCATAATAAATAGTTTTTTCACTACGTTTTTTTTTTTTTTTTTGCCATATTAAATGTCAGCATAAATACCGATCAATACATTTATCACTATAATAAAGCTTTTTTATTGAGTTTACTTATTGCCCCACAAAATTAATTAGTTTATAATATTTTTCAATAAATACAGAAATTAAAATTAAATATCTAAACACAAATAAAAAAAAATAATTGAAAAATATTTTGGTTTTAGCTTATAAATTATAAGTTGATTAAAAAAATTGTTGACCAAAAATCCCTTTTTAATATATTTATCCAGAAATGATATATATTAAAAAGCTCCCATGGTGAAAGTTTTTACAATGCATCTGAGATCAATGAATAAACCTTAGAGTGTTGGTGTTTATATTTTTTTTAATTTCATTCCACATCGATTTTTAGGCTCATCAAAAAGGCAAAGTGGGAATTACATTTGACACCAACTTTTTCAAACCATATCGAGGCTCAAGTAATAAAGATGATGTCAAAGCTGTCCAATATGCATATGATTTTATGTTCGGATGGTAAGTATATGTTATTTTGTTATGACAAACCTAAAAAATTTTCAAAAATTATATGTTATTTTGGCTCATATTTCAGGTTTTTAGAACCATTAACAAAAGGTACTTGGCCAGAAAGCATGCAAAAATTTACTACGTCTCCGACTAAAAAATACCCAAATGGTCGACGTTTGCCTAAATTTTCTGATGATCAACTTGCGAAGTTGATTGGGTCATATGATTTCCTTGGAATAAACTACTACACTGCAAATTTTTCTCAATTTCAAGCTCCTGCTCCTGATGTTCGTATTGGGTATCTTACAGATCGTCATTACACGCCATCAGGTAATGAAAAACTTGCAAGCTTTAATCTAATTGGCACTTCGAAAAATGGTAATGAAAAACTTAAACTTCATTGGATCAAAATAATTATCAACTGATGGGTTGTTAAAACAAGTTCTATCTATAAATGTATGGAAATTCAGAAGTTGTAACATGAACTTCTTCTCATGTTTTAGGAAAGGACCCCAGGAAGAACCCGATAGGACCTGTGGTAAGGCATCTTTTCTTATGAAAAACAAAAGAAACACATGAAATCTCCAAAATGAGATTCAAAACATCAAGTTTTTATTACATGGGTAAATACTTGACCAAGAATATGAAACTCTGTAGGCTTTCGAAGGCTCCTGGGTTTATCTTTGTCCTGAAGAGCTTACTGAGCTCTTGTTGCTTGTGAAGAACAAATACCATGTTACAAAAGATATTATAATTACGGAGAATGGTAAAACAATAAATTCTTCTGTTTGCTTCTAGTTTGATCGTACATCTTGAATCTATGCTTATATTTTGATATCTTGCGACAGGATCCCAAGATCAGAACTTACCTGATAAAACATTTGTACAAGTTCGAGATGACACATTTCGAATTAATTACATTAAAAAACATCTTGAAGCTATCAAAAAGGCCAGGAGGTAAGTTTGCTAGTTGACTTATTCCGTATACTTCATTCCATTGAGCATCACGTCATGGAAGTTGATAATGACATAATCTTATTGTATATTATAATACAGTCTAGGAGTGAATGTCATGGGGCACTTCGTTTGGTCATTCATGGATAGCTTTGAATGGGTTTTTGGCTATAATTCTCGATTTGGTATGTTTTATGTTGATTACACAAACAATCTTCTAAGGTACCCAAAAAATTCAGCAATTTGGTATAGAAAATTTCTGTCTGCAAAGAGTAGGTTACTTCTAAAAAGATCCCTACGTAATGATCAGCAAGAAAAAGAAGATGAGGTCAATGATATGATGAAGGAAGAAGAAGAAGATGATGAAATAATTGAAGTGATTCCAAAACTGAAGAAGGCCAAAGCATAAAAAGGCACCATTATAATTAATGTGAACATAAGTTATTTTATTTTGTTTTGTTTTGTATGTATTGGATGTTTGCGAGCATTGGATTTATATAGTGTGACTTCTATGTGAAATAATTTATTATCAGAAGAACTGTGAGAGTGTATTTGTCAAGCTGAGGTGTGTCGTAGTTTGTTATATTTGTGCAACTGAATTTGCTTAATCCAACAATCATATTTTGTGTCGTCTTTTACTTATTAATGACAATCTAGGAGCACTATTATTTGGTATAACGGTATCAGAACAAGTCTACAACTATCATTCTAAGATTTGCTTCTTTGTTCTCAAATCCCTCTTTATTTCTATTTTCACTCTATCATATGGTTTCAAAATAAAAAATCTACATCAAGTAGCAAACGTCCACCTTTGGATGAAAACAACTTTACAACGTGGTTAAGAAAAATCATAATGGTTCTCTAAACAATAAAGTACAACATACTAGAATTTCTCAGTGCCGGTCCATTTGTTCCGACCTTTCAAAAATTTGACGCACTATTCCTAGAGCAACATTTACAACTATGAAGATATATTCAAATTAATAGACAAAAATGATAAAAGGAACTTCATCACGTGGATCTATTTGTAACTAAAATTCCTTGATTTTGTTGAAGTAGCTGAGGGCTTAGGCACTTCAACATAGGATAGACGATTTCAAACATAGGAATAATGCAAATGGAAAAACAAAGGCACAGGACTACTAGAAAATGGGGTAAGTTGCCACGGAAAAATACCTAAAGTTGCCCAAATTTAGTGTTGGATTTCCTACCGAATAACTATAGAAAATAATTATGTAGTTATTCTGTAGTTAATTTGCTACATAATACATACAGAAATGAAGAAAACTGATTTATTTCAAATTTGTAGGTACTCTATAAGTAATTTATTCGAGAATACATACTGAATAAAAAAAAGAGGGACATTTTTAAATTATATAGATAATCCGTAGTAAATATTTTTATTCCCTTCCTTATTCTATAGGTTATTACTAACATCTTTCATTTTAATTCTATTATTATTATATTTATAACTCTAATTTATATCTATTGTTACATTTATAATTATTGTTTTATTTTTATTGTTAAAATCATTATGTTTTGTTTTATTAATTTATTATTATTATTGTTATATAAAATCATTATTATTATTATTATTATTATTATTATTATTATTATTACTACATGTATATGTTCTTGAAACGATTCATGAATTTCGATGATCAATACAATTTTATATATGTTTATATGATGTATAACTTGTAGAAAACAAAATAATCAACGTATAATATTGTTGTGAAAATTGTGTAGCGAAAAAAACAACGTTATTTGACATTCAAAATAATAGAAAAAATGAAATCCATCGTAGGTAATCTGTAGATAGACACCTACGGATTACCTACAAATACCGTTTATCCATAGGTAATCTGCAGTTGGTATTTACTTATATTTACCTAAAGATTAACTAAAATAGTTTTTGTATTTTCTATTTTCGATGGTTAAATATCATTTTTTTCGTTTCATTTTTTTCCCAACATCATTATACATAGATTACTTGGTTGTGACCAAGATATACATTATATAAACACATATACAACTATCCGCACCATTAGAACCCATTATTCATTCAAAATTTTATTCTTTTTAGTTGTAGAAATGCATATCATTTTCACTACAAAAACAATATATAGGCATACCCATACATACACTCCCATATATATATATATATATATATATATATATATATATATATATATATATATATATATATATATATATATATATATATATATATATATATATATATATTAAATCATGGTTAATTGTTTTTAAAGAACAAGTATATATAGTTTTTGTATTATGTATCTTCTATAATAATGGGTTTTAATGGTGCACATGGTTGTACGTATATTTATATTATGTATAACTTGCTAAAAACTAAGTAATCAAAGTATAAATATGAAATGAAAAGATGACATTTAACCCTTGAAAAATAGAAAAATAAAAAACTATCATAGGTAATCTGTAAGTAAATACTTACGAATTACCTATAGATAAGCTTTATCCGTAGGTAATCCATATGTATTTACCTACGGTTGATTTGGTATTTTCTACTTTCAAAGGTCAAATGTTGTTTTTTTTTCGTTTCGTACTTTTCACAACATCATTATACTTCGATTACTTGATTTTGACTAAGTTATACATAATATAAACGTTCGTACAACCATGTGCATCACTAGAACCCATTACTCATTCAAAGTTTTATCCTTTTTATTTGTATAAATCCATGTTATTTTCAATAGAAAAATATATACAAGCACACACATACATACACTCCGATACTTATGTATTATATTTAGTATATCATGTATATCTTAAAATGATGGTTAATTGTGGTTCAAGAACAAACATATATAGTTTTTGTATTATGTGTCTTGTATAATAATGGGTTCTATTGGTGTACACGGATATACATACGTTTATATATATAACTTGGTGAAAACTAACTAATCAAAATATAATGATGTTGCGAAAAATATGAAATAAAAAAATGGCATTTAACCCTTGAAAATTTGAAAAATATAAAAACTATCATCGGTAATCTGTAGGTAAATACCTACGGATTACCTATAGATAAGCTCTATCCGTAGGTAATGCGTAGGTATTTACCTTCAGATTACGTACGATAATTTTTGTATTTTATATTTTTCGATGGTCAAATGTCATTTTTCTTATCTTATTTTTTTCACATTATTATACTTTGATTACTTGGTTTGTACTAAATGATTTTAGTAAATACAACAACAACAACAACAATAACAACAACAACAACATTAATAATAATAATAATAATAATAATAATAATAATAATAATAATAATAATAATAATAATAGAAAATTGAATTAAGAATAATATTATAGTTAGAATTCATAAACTACAATACATAAAACGATAAGGAAAGAAGTTAATCGATATTGTTATTATTTATTTTCTGAATATGATTTAATTTATAAGGAAAAATGAGATAAATAAAATAATTTTTTTAAGTTAAGGTAGGAAATCTCCTACGGAATATCAACTAAACGAAAAAAAAAATCAAATAACTCCCTCTTTTCTGAAATTTACTAGGTTAATCTCACTTTTCGTCACACTCTTTGTAACGACGAGATTTTCAAAACAAAATTTTCATTTTTCAACAACCATATTTTAAATATAAAACATTCTCAAAAAGTGTTTCACAATAGTTATTAATCAAACATATCCCCAAGACCATAAATCAAATCTCCTCTCGGTGTGTACGGTCCAAGGTGGCGCCTTCCCACGGTCCTCGCTAGTACCTGAAACACATAAAATAATAACTATAAGCATCCGGTCGATGTGTCTCAGCGGGACCCTCCAGTCTCATTGCTCGTTGGACCCTCTGGTCCGGTCATAGCTCGTTGGGCCCTCCGGCCCGGTCTGAATCGTTGGACCTCCGGTCCGGTCTATACAATTATATATCATACATACATCACATAGCACATAATCTCACACATGGCATACAATCTCATACATAGCACATAAGACCTTTCGGTCAACTCATAATACCTCTCTAGGTAACGTATAGTGAGAAGACTCACCTCGTGTAACTCTGTAACTCGGAAATCTTGGTCTCCGTGAAATAGGATCTAGCCTCCACCTAATCATACGAAAATAAACACTCGACATCAACACAATTCCAAGACTAGACCATTCCTTCCCTTAACACTCTTAGGAGGGTAAAAGACCATTTTACCCCTCTCAAGGCTCAAATACTCTAAAGTTGACCAAACCCTAAAAGTCAACAAAAGTCAACGGTCAACCCTTTGACCAAACTCGCTGAGTGCACAATTGTGACTCGGCGAGTTCAGTCATGAACTCACGTCCTCAAAACCCCGAATGACTCACTGAGTCACTTCCCCAACTCAACGAGTTACCATCTGCATGATTTATGGTGGAAACTCATCCTACTCGCCGAGTTTTTTCTTGGACTCGGGGAGTTCAAGCCATGCTCAAACTCAAATGACCTTCAGAGGTCAGATCTGCTCCTCTAATCCATAGATCTAACCTCCCCAAGCTCAATAAACACGTAAAGGTTCGAACTTGATACACATGCAACGTCCAAATGGCACTACTTGATGATTTGGTCCCAAATACAACACTCTAAGTTCATTTCTACCATAACCCAATATAAAGCAAGATGAATAACCCTCTCTGGACCACTATGGGCCCAGATCTGAAGTCTAAACATGATAAGGGACCTTATTCTCAACAAATCAACCCAATAAAAGGCATAGAAAACCTTAGATCCATGGATGCTTTAAAAAAACAGAAAGGGGCTCGATATGCTACCTCAAAGATGATGCCCTCTGCTTGAAATCCACGAATATGCAACCTCCTTGGCCTCCTCCAAGCTGGAATCATCTTCTTCTTGCAAAACAATCCCACAAAGGTCCAATAATGGTTTCTTCTCTCTCACAAATGCTCAAACACGATAAGGGTTTCTCTCAAGGGTCTGGTAGCCGTAAATGGTGGCTATAAGCCCCTTTAAATAGGTCTCAACCCCCGGGGATTAGGGTTTCATTAAACAACATGGACTCGCCAAGTCCACGAATGGACTCACCGAGTCCGCCATTAAATCAGTCTGACCATCCGCGCTCCTACTCAGCGAGTCTGAGTGCCTACTCGTCAAGTCTCTCTCCAAAAACTCAATATTAAAGCATAAATAAGATACTTGGGAGTCCGGATGTTATAATTCTCCCCCACTAGAATAAGACTTTGTCCTTGAAGTCTCATTCCGCAAACAACTATGGATGCTGCTCACGCATCTCGCGCTCCGGTTCCCAAGTCAGCTCGGACCCCCTCCGATGTTGCCACTGGACCTGCACCAAGGGCCCTTCTTTGTTCCTCATAACCTTGATCTTCCGATCCAAGATTGTGATCGGTTTTTC